CGGCTGAAGCCACCTCAGAACATCCACCTCAAGATTTGAGCCTGACAGGTAATAGGAGTTTTAAAGAATCTGCAGCCAGGACATTAAACTGCTACAGAAAAGGGTTGTGATCTAGGACGGTCTCACTGCTTATTAGAAGGACAACAAGATCTGAAGGTGTGACACCACACACACCCAGTCACAAGGCAGGCAGAAGAGCTGACCCCGCCCTGCTGACTGGTCCCCACCTCATCCCCACATGCCCATCTGTGCACCTTAGGTCAGTCCCCATGCCTGCTGGGAGCACCATATGGCCCCAGGCATACACCCACAGCTCTCAAGTCTCCATCTTCTGGTCAGTGGTCACAGGCTAGCATCTGAGGTTCTGCACGGACTAACAGGCACGTTCTGGTTTGCCCACAATAATTCAAGGGAAATTTGTTGTCTGTGTAAGTTCCACTGTGGATGCTCTGTCCTTGGTCCAGAACCCATCCCTTGGTGGCTCCATTTCTCCCTGAGCTCTAGGAAATGTCACACATCTTCCACTGAAATGTGTTAGACTGGCTTTTAACAAAAACAAAAACAATGCTGAGAAGATGGAGAGTTTAACAAACACTGTTGAAACATTTGGATATCCACACCCTAGAAAACTAACTGCTCTCCCCAATGCAGAACAAGAAATCCCAAGTAAATCATGATGGGGGAGATTAAATGTTAAATAAAAAGCTACAAAACTCAGGCCTTTTGGCTACCAGCCTAGCCAAAAAGCAGTGAGCTCTGGTGTAGGGAGAGCCCCTGCCTCAGGGGAATAAGGTGGAGAGTGATAGAGTGAGACAGCTCACATCCTCCTATGACCTCTGCACGCTCATGTGAGTACACACACACACACACACACACACACACACACACACACACACACACGAGTTGGGGAGGAGTAAATAAATATAGTAAATAGATGCTTTTAAACTTTATAAAAGTTGGAACAAATAAAAGGCAATTATTGATTTTTTTATAGACAATACAAAACATAATCTTTAAAAGAAAATTTGAAGAATTGTGTGTCATCAAAGCTTTAAATGTGTAGTCAGGGAGATGGATAAAGTGCTTGTCATGTAGTCATGGGGACCTGAACTCATAAAATCTACATAAAACCTGGGGAGTGGCACACATCTGTAACTTCAGCACATAAGTGGGGGAAACAGAGCCAGGGGACTCCCAATGTGGACTTTTCAGCAACATTTCTTTCCTTTTTAAAGTTTTATTTATTATACATGTATGAGTTTTCTTCCTGCAGGTATGTATGTGCAAATGCAGTGCCCACAGAGGCCAGAAGGAGGCGATGGATCCTTTGAGCTGGGTTCTGAGATAACCAGGATGGCTACTAAGAGCTGAACTTAGCTCCTCTGCAAGAGCAGCCACTTCTCCTAACCATTGAGCCATTTCTCTAGCTCAGATGGGCTTTTCTTTTTAGAAACTGTCCAAAGGTGTGCACAGAAGAGGACCCGACCATTGTATACAGACCTGCTGACATCCGCAAGAGTGACATGACATCAAGACTTGAGACTAAAGCTCTAGCAATGAAACAGCAGTGGACCTGTGCAGAGCTGAGAAATTAGACAAACCACACAAACCAGAGAAGCCAGGAAAAAAACCCAAACATATTCAGAATCAGTGTCTTCCTCAAAGTGGCCGGCATTGCTGGGCACTGGGAAGATGTGAGCAGAGTTAAATTAATTGAAAGGACAAAAATTGATTATTAGTCCAGCCTTCATGGAAAAAAATCAATAAATAGCAGAAATGGTGGTTCACACCTTTAATCTCAGCACTTAGGAGGCAAAGGCAGTAAGGTATCTGTGAGTTCCAGGCTAGGCTAGCCTGGTCTACATAGAGGATTCCAGGCCATCTTGAGTTACATAGCTAGGTCTTGTCTGTAAAACATCAGTTAAAAATTGGTCAAGAGCCGGGCGGCAGTGGAGGCACACACCTTTAATCCCAGCACTCAGGAGGCAGAGCCAGGTGGATCTCTGTGAGTTCGAGGCCAGCCTCGAACAGAGCAAGATCCAGGACAGGTACCAAAAACTACACGGAGAAACCCTGTCTGGAAAAACAAACAAACAAAAATTGGTTGAGGACTTACTTATTCATAAAAGGAAAAAAAATTAAATCCTTTAAAAGGACGGGGAGGATAGCTTAGTAGTTGAAGATGCTGTGTGAGCCTAGGGCCCTAAATCCAGTTCTCAGAATCATGTGGAAGTGGAAGGAGAGACCTGATTCCACAAACATGTTCACTGACTGCCAAATGTGTGCAGTGACATGCACATGTGTGCACACACACCACAAACATACTAAATAGTAATAAATAAAAATGTAAGGTATAAAAATAAAAATGTTTACAAGAAATAGGAAAACAATTAATTTTCAGGATATCTCTGTTCTTTAGTTCTGTTGTTGTTTCTATTCGTCCCTCGTACCTCCTCTTCTTGTTTTTCAAATTCTCTGAGGTTTTTGTTTGTTTAAAAATTCCCTTATTTGTTTTTATGTGCATGGATGTCTGTGCCTCTGTGCATGTCTTTGCACCATGACAGTGCTCACAGAGGCCAGGGAAGGGTGTTGGATCCTCTGGAGTTGTAGACAGTTGTGAGCTGCCATACGGGTGCTGGGTATCAAACCTGGGTCCTCTGGAAGTGCAGCCAGTGCTCCTAACTGCTGAGCCATCTCGCCAGGCCCTGCTTGTTTTTGGAGACAGAGTCTTATGGAGCCCAAGCTGAACTGGAACTGACAATGTAGCTGAGGATGACTGAACCCCAGAACTCAGGCCTGTACCTCCCAAGTGCTGGGATTACAGACATGTGCTTGGCTTGGTATTCATAATTTCTTAAATGAGAGGAAAAAGTATAATTAGTAGACTAATTTGGTTTATTATAATTAAAAGCCATTTATCAAAAGATATTAAAAAAAAAGGTGACTGGGGCGGTAGGTCAGTCAATGAAATGTTTGCTGTGTGAACATAAGGACTTGAATTGGATCTGCGGAACCCACATAGAAAGCAGGCCTTCAGGACACATGCTTATGACCAAGTCATCCATCTGTGTTCTGTTTCATCAAAAACACAGGATGGGGGAGGGTGGGAAGAGGAGGAGGAGGGAAGGAGGTAGAAAAAAAGGATAAGGATGCTCTAAAGAGTTTAACCGCAGAGGAAAACGATGTAATAGTGTGCTAACACAGCCAGCCAGAGCAACACAAACAAGATGCACATCACAGTGTCAACACATCAGTGTGCATGGACCTCCAAGACACAACAATGTCGAATGATAAAACCAAAGACTGAGAAATGAGGCCTGTGAACTGGGCATGGTAGCACATGCCTATAATCCCAGAACTCTGGAGGCTGAGGCAGGAGAATGAGGAGCTGGAAACTAGCCTGGGCTACACAGTGAGACCCTGCTAATTAAAGAAAGGGAAGAAAGAAGGAAAGAAAGAAGGAGAAAGAGAGAGATATACAGACAGACAGACACACAGACACACAGATAAATAAATAGTTAGACAGAGGAAGAGGGCTGGGTGCATCTCTGTGACAAAGCGCTTGTTCTGCATGTCAGGTTTGGATTTACTCCTGAACACTGAGGGAAAGAGTGGACACTGGTACAGGCAGCTGGTGCGGGTGGGTGGATCTCTGTGAGTTGAAGGCCAGCTTGGTCTACATAGCGAGTTCTAGACCAGGGCTCCATAGTGAGACCCTGTCTCTAGAAAAGAAAGTATAACTCTGTCTATATAAAAACCCCAAGCAGAGACACTAAACAATACACCCTGGGCAACCCCATGTGCATGTATGTGACAAAACCTTAAGGCCTGCAGAAAAAAAACATGTTGAGGTTGTCACCGAGGAGGGTAGAAAGCAGGAATGTGACATCAGAGAGGATGGTCAGTATGGACCACATTCTATTACTGCACCTGCAGGAGCGCACAGTGCCAAGTGTCTTTCCGTGTGAGGTGTATCTATTTATTGGACATGTTGTCAAACTGCCCTCTAAATATCTATGTCCATAAACTCCTGATTAGCGCTATCCTCAGCCTGGGTTGGAGAAGCTTTCCTCTGCTGTGGTCTCAGTGCTGAGAAAATGTGACAATTGAGTGCTCAGCCAAAACGGGACATCTATATCAAACCCTACCCTATGCCACCCCAAGGCACCTCCTCACTACCAGAAGGTACCTCCATGATACCCCACGCAACCCCATTCTATCCCAAGGCTCAGGGACATTATGGAAGGAAGAAGGAAATGAACGCATTCAAGAGCCAGAGGTGAGGAGGAGAGTGCTGTGAGATGCTGGGATCTGGCTGAGGCATGGTCACTGCACTCATGACACTGTGGCTATGGTCACCTGTCCAAGACCAAGACAGTAAGATCGGTTAGCATTCTAGGAAGAGAAAGAAGAATGGTAGGAGGTAATAGACCATGAAGGGGAGGAGGAACACATGAGGGAGTGGGAGGGAGGGGTTGGAGGTGGATATGAGAGAGAGATGTTGTACATGTGTGAATTTATCACAGCATAAGTAAAGATATTCTATTAAAATATGTATGTGTATGTATTTATTGGGCACATTCTTTTATGCTTTTGACACAGCAAAAAGAGTCTTGTAAAATCTGAGAGTATTCTCAGAATCACAGATTTATTTGTTGTCCTCTGCCACCAGAAGAGCTGTGTCCAGGGACATGAACAGAGCTTTGATGTCAACAGACCTCACTGATTCTCCTAATGGGACAATGCTGCTTCTCCCCAGAGCACCTCTGAGGCCTGTTCACCCAGAGGACCGCACTGAGCATGCTCAGGAGCAGGGGCACCTCCAGAAAGACCAGGAGCTGGAAGTAGATGCTGCTCAGCACTGGCCTGTGGGGACAAGGTCACAATAAGCTCTATGTCCAGAAGGTAGTGATGGTGTCCTACACTGTGTTCTTATCTCTTTACCCAGGTGTGTGTCCCAGGTGCTCTTTTCAGGGACAAGGACAAGGAACCCTGCCTGATTGAACAGTGTGACTGATAGCCCAAGAATTAGCCTGGAACTGTGAATCTGGCTCAGTCTCTCCGTGGACCTCCACTCCTAAGGCCTCTATCCAGGCAGGCACTACCTCCTTCACCCAGACCCCAACTCTCTTCTAAACTCAGTTCTCCTATTTCCTCCTGGTGGCTCTTATTTGTTATTGATTTATTTGTTTGTTTGTTTAGTAGTTGGTTTTTTTTTGTGGTGCGGGCAGGGTCTCTCTTTTATGTAGCCCAGGTTGTCCTAGATCTCACTATGTACACCAGGATGGCCTTCAACTCACAGAGATCCACCTGCCTTTATCTCCCAAGTACTGGTGTTAAAGGCTTGTGCAACCACAATCCAGTGACTGTATTTATTTTCATTAGTTAATTAATTAATTTACTGTTGTGAGTGTGTGTGTGTTTGTGTGTGTGTCTGTGTGTGTTCATGTGTGTGTATCCAGGTGCACATGTGTGTATGAATGTGCAGCCCAGAGGATAATCTTGGATGTCATTCCTTAGGAATCATCACCTTGTTATATTTGTTTTGAGACAGGTTCCACTTTGCAGCTCTGGCTAGAATGAAATTTGCTGTGTACTCTAGACTGGCCTTAAACTCACAGATACTGGCCTGCCTTTGCTTCCCAAGTGCTGGATTAAAGGCATGAGTCACCACACCTGATCCATCTATCTTCTTATCTGACATTATCTCACATTGGCCTGGAGCTTGCCAAGTAGTCTAGGCTGGCTGCCCAGTGAGTCTCCATCTCTATAGCTCAGGTAATTCAACTGTATGCCACCATGGCCAACATGTGGGTGCTGAGGCTCGAACTCAGATCCTTTACCAGCAAAGCCATCTCTTCAGGCTCTGGGTGTGTTTATGTAGTAACCTCTTGACAGGAAACTAACTCCATCTCAGCAGGTATGGGTGTCATTGCTGTGCCCCAATCTGTAGATGAGCAACTGTTGCTCACAAGACACTCCCCCAGGTCAGTGTGGGACTGGAAGATGCAAGAGACGCCCAAGGAGGGAGATCCAAACCCTTCTATCTCCACCCTCTCAGCATTACCCCCACCCACAGTCCAGAGCCCTCAGGGTCCTCACCGGGGTTGTAGGCTGGGACCAGGAGTTGTGTCCTCTGTGGTCACGCTGGGCTGAGTGTGCACTGGTGAGGACGTGGGGGATCCCAGGGTATTTGCTCTGTTCTCGGGGCTAGAGCCTGTGACAGGAGCAAAGGATGGAAACACAGACTGTCCCAGTGACCTCCACTCCATGTCCTCCCCACTGAAACCTCTGCAGCTCTGCTGCACACGGGTCCCTAGGGACACGGAGGACCGCTGTGTGACAGCCTACAAGGCCCAATATCCACACTGTGTCCTGATCAGGGCTTCCCTGCCCAGGCCTTCCCATGGTGCATTGGGGCTGGTTGGCCCTTTCAAACTTGAGGCCAGGCTTCCTGCAGAGGAGAGTTAAGTGTCAGTGACAAGATACTTGATGCCAGGTCGCTTCCGGCCTCAGTGACACTTTTGCCTCCTTGTCTTCCATCCTTCTGGGGACAGATACAGAGTGGTGGGACTCTGTCTGCCTGGACCAGTCATCCCCACACTGTCACCCAGACAGGCAACTGGACAGTCTTCTGAGGAATAGAGAGATGGAAAGTTCTAGAAAAAGAGATGCTTGGAGGACCCTGCAGAAAGTGGCCTCTGCTGAGGGGAACTAGAGACACCAGTGGGATTTGGTTCCACACTCCTCACTATAAACCAACAGAGGATGTTGGAGAGAAGCTTTTATGAGGGGGCAACAAAATTGAGAACCAGAACAGGAAGCTGGTGTGGGGATGGGAGCCTGTAATCCCAGTGCCAGTGAGGCAGTTAGGAAGATCAGTCATTCAAGATGAATCTCAACTACACACTACAGTTTTTGGCTACACAAAAACTGGGCTACACAAGACCCTCTCTCAGAATAGAAAAATACCGGGAACAACAGAGCAGTTCATTGCCTTCAGCCCCTGTCACCACCCGGCCCTTAAAGGGAGGCACTAATTCAGGTTCTATAAACAAGGGAGGCTCCATTAGGGGAGAATGACTGCAGACATGGAGAACATTGGGACCAGAGGAGCTGAGAGTCTGTCTTCCATTCAGCTTCACCCTCTGCCTGCGAAGGGGCACTTTTGGGGGATTCTCTGAGTTTCTTCCTGCAGTAAATGGTTCCTGGGAAAGGAGGATGTAGGGGAACTTGGAGGTGTTGAATGGATTCCTCAGGGATCAAGTACCCCAAAATGCAATCTACCCTTCTTCTTGTGTCCCTAGTTCCACTCAGAAGCCCCAGAACCACTGTGATGAGGCTGGCACCTCGGGACCTCCATGGAAGGGAAGTGTCCACTTGGGCCCAGGCCAGAGCAGCATTTGAGAGAGGGGAGAAGATGTGCTGGGTTCTGTTTCCACATGGAGTTGGGGACAGGACCAAGTGAGACCTGGGAGAGAGGACTTGTCTGCTATCAGGACAGGAAGTCACAAAGAGCCTGTGGTTCAGGGAGTGTCTCTAGGTCTGAGACTGTCAGGTGGGACACACAGAGAGTCTCCTACAGGGGCTGCTGAGAGAGCTCGGTGGGGAAAGTCTCTGCTTGCCAAGCCTGAAGACCTGAGTTTGAGCCCCAGGACCACACTGTGGAGGGAGAACTAAGTGCCAGTTCTCTGATTGACACACACCAGGGCTAGTCCAAGTAACTAACTAGATAGATAGATAGATAGATAGATAGATAGATAGATAGATAGATAGATAGATAGATAGATAGATGTGATAGAAAGTGAGTTTCTAAAGAAGTCAGGTTTCACATTGGGACTGTGTGTACATGCACACACATGTATTGGTGTACATACACTATCACACATACCAACCATGCTCTCACAAAGGCACACGTGGACTCACACTCCCTGTGGCCTGAGTCACTGATTCACCAAGCTCACCATGCTATTGTATCTGCTTCCTTCTTTCATGAGGGAATGACTGACCTGGACTCAGGGTGCCCTGACATGAAGAGGGCTTACCTGGGACCGCGGACACCACAACCTTGAAGAAGTCATCCATCCCCAAGGAGGGATGGATCTCCCTCAAGGAGTCATCAAAAAGCAGTATATCCACTCCACCTATACAGGTGCCATCATCTTCCAGGGTGAGGTTCTCCAAGGTCACTGTGAAGATGAGGGTGGCTGGATGGTCCCTGATGGATACTCGGCCATTTCTAGCTTCTTTTGAGGCTCTAGTGCTGACAATCTCTTCACATAGTGGTAGTGAAACTCTGCACCAGTATTTGTCGTTAGTCTTGTGTTCCTCCTTGTACTGACACTGCACACTCAGGGACTCCCCCACTGTGCCTGTCATGATGCTGGGCCACATGAAGGGAGACAGCCTGGAAAACACAAGCCCCAATTCTGCACCCTCACAGCTGGATGGGGGTCAGGACTCCCTTGGTCAGCTCTTAGAGAACTTTTGGTCTGGAGGAAGCATCGAGAAAGAAGACAGGCCTTGTTAGACCCAGGAGTCGGGACTGAGGTGAGCACCTACGTTGTCCTGAAGAAGGGGCGGGCAGGGGGCTTGTGCCTAAAGAAGGATGAGACCAGGAGGAAACAACCTGTGTGTGTGTGTGTGTGTGTGTGTGTGAGAGAGAGAGAGAGAGAGAGAGAGAGAGAGAGAGAGAGAGAGAGAGAGAACAAAGAGAGGGAATGAGGGAGTCTTTACCTATGTACATATCATGTGTATGTCTCTGTGGGTGTGCCATGTTTATATGCAGGAGTCAGTGCTTGTGTGTATGTTTGGTATGCACACACACATGCATGCAAATACATGTGTGTACACAATAGAGATTGTGTGGTGTTATGACAATGTCTGTCTCAGCTAACCCTCTCAGCAGGTCCTGACTGTCTCAGGTGTGGTAGTCATGACTGTACTCTGCACTGATTCCTGACAGCACCTGTGAGGTGACATTGGCCACTCCTGCCCACCCCCACACCTTGTCTTCACTCTGGGCCCATCTTCCTCTGCTGGCTGCTCTCTCCCACCTCCCATCCCCCATCCTGCACTCTCACTTACTCCAGGAGTTCCCCTTTCAGAGCTGTAGTCCCCACCCCACCCCCTCCCCCTGCTCACCTGGGACCTGCAAGAGGAGCAGAGCTGAAGGCAGCCACATTCCCATCACTCCTGGGGTCATTTCTTCAGCTCTGATGTCTCCTGCCCACACCAAGCCCAAGAGGAGAGGGGCAGTGTCCTTCTAGAAAGTCCAGAGTTCACATGCCCAGTTCTCCTTTCTGTTCTCTGCTTCCTGCTCCCCTGAGAGGCTCCAGATGAACTGGTACAGGAAGTGCTCTGAAGAAGGTCCAGGACTCAGAGGCGCAGGTTCCTATCACTCCCAGTGAGAGACACATCCCTGGCCATGGATTGAGGATGTCACCTGTCCCCCAGCCTTCAGCTAAGGGCTTCACAACCTTCCCACCTATGGCCAGCCTTTGAGAGCCTCTCCATTTTTGGTCATGCTGTCCATCCTCTGTGATAAGCCACTTCCTGAGCTGACTTGAGATCTGTCCATCTTATCTTGCTCCATCTCCGAGAGGAGAGGAACCACCTCCTTCACTCTTGTGAATCCCACACCATATGTGCCTGTGTTGCTCACAGTGAAACCCACTTGAGTTCATTGTGAGTGGGAGGTTCATGGCACAATTCTGATGAATGCTTAGCTAGTCTCCTCTTTGTATCTTGGGTCTTGTTAACCCCCCAGGTGGTGAACATGGATGGTAAACACATTGTCACGTCTTGTATTTCTCTTCTCATTTATTCCCCATGGGGACTTGTGCAGTGCTGGGACAGAGCAGAATGAAGGTATTGGGGGCCTTCTGGAGAGCCTGCTCCAAGGCCACCTCCAGGGTAATGCAAGAGAATCCACTAAGTTGGCATGGGTTAGACTGTTTCTATCTGAGAGTATTTAGAAATAAGTTTTAATCATCTCTTAGTGGTGAAATAAGGAAACACACATGCTCTCTGATGTTAACTTTCTCTTTTACTTAATCTTAATAACCAATTAATGGCCTCTGACTCTTCCTGTCTCCACACAGCTACACATCTCCACACTGCTGCATACAGCTGCAGATCTTTACAGACATTCATCTTTTCACATGGCTACACAATTTCTTTGACATACATTTCTCTTCTACATCTCTTTTCTAGGAAGCTTCATCTTCCTTCTCTGCACACAGCCACAGCTAAGCATCATTTACACAGCCCTCTCTTCACACAGCACATTATACACAGCTCCTCCAAGTAGCAGCAGCTCTTCCACACATCTCTCTCTCTCTCTCTCTCTCTCTCGCCCCCGCGCGCACACACACACACACACACACACACACACACTCACACACACAGTTCCACATGATTTCTTCACTCTTTACTCAATCACTCTCTCACTCTTTCACCCACTTATTTCCTTACACGTCATGCTTCTTCATCTCTCACTCAGCACACACACACACACACACACACACACACACACACACACACACATTCTGCAGCAGCTCTCACATAGCTCTACACAGCTTTCTCTCTTCACACCGATGCTGCTGCTCCCTCTCGGCCAAACTCTGGACAATTAAGTCACATTTTCAGCGTGCTACCACCCGTTCTCAACACACAAGATAAGCCACTTCGTTTCTCCTAGGCTGGTAATGGCACATTGACCCACGCACGTAGCTCTAAGTTGGTGAGGGGCCAAGACATGAAACATAGGCTGAACCTTTACCTGTCAGGGTACTGTATGCACCAGCAGCAGAGAGGGAATTATTGCAAGGATTGAGTCTTGATGGAAACAGCCTGGCCTTGATTCAGCAATGAACAACATCTGGGAATTAGTCTGTGTACATTCTGAAGGGGCAGCTTAGTCTGCTTTGGACTAGTTCTAAGGTCTTTGCAAGATATGTAAAAGGTTGTTTTTGAGACTGAGAATACTGTTACTTTCTTATGTCAGTAATGAAGAATATTCTGGTAATATTTATGTTCATCAGAATTAAACTGCTTAAACAGAAATCTACAGCTAAGTAATGATGTTCTATTAAAATGTGTATGTATATGTATTTATTGGACACATTCTTTTATGTGTTTGACACATCACAAAGAGTCTTCTAAAAAAAATCTCAGAGTATTCTCAGAATCACAGATTTATTTGTTGTCCTCTGTCACCAGAAGAGCTGTGTCCAGGGACATGAACAGAGCTTTGATGTCAACAGACCTCACTGATTCTCATAATCAGGACAATGATGCTTCTCCCCAGAGCACCTCTGAGGCCTGTTCACCCAGAGGACCGCACTGAGCATGCTCAGGAGCAGGGGCACCTCCAGAAAGACCAGGAGCTTGAAGTAGATGCTGCTCAGCAGGGACCTGTGGGGACAAGGACACAATAAGCTCCCTTCCCTGAAGGTGGTGATGATGCCCTGCACTGTGTGTTGGTCTCTTTGCCCAGGTATGTGTCCAAGATGTTCTTTTCAGGGACAAGGACAAGGAACCCTGGCTGATTGAGCTGTGTGACTGAGCCAAAGAATTAGCCTGGAACTGTGGGTCTGGCTCAGTCTCTCCGTGGACCTCCACTCCTAAGGCCTCTATCCAGGCAGGGGCTGCCTCCTGCACCCAGGCCCCAATTCTCTTCTAAAATTAGTTCCCCTATTTCCTCCTGGTGGCTCTTATTTTTTATTTTGTTATTTTGCTATTAACTTATGTTCTTTTGGAGTGAGGGGCACAGGGTTTGTCTATTATGTAGCCCAGGCTGTCCTGGAACTCACTATGTTGACCAGGATGGCCTTGAACTCACAGAGATCTACATTTCTCTACCTTCCAATTACTGAGGTTAAATGCTTGTGCCACTACAGACCAGTGGCTGTATTTATTTTCATTAAGTAATTATGAATTAAATAAAATTAATTAATTTGTTGGTGTGTTTTTATGTGTGTGTGTGTTCATGTGTGTGTATGTAGGTGCACATGTGTGTGCATGAATATAAACACGAGAGGATACCCTTGGGTGTGATTCCTCAAGAATCATCATCTTGTTATGTTGATGTTGGGACAGGTCTTTCTGCGACTCTGGCTAGAATGAAATTTGTTATGAAGTCCAGGCTGATTTTCAGCTCATAGAGTGGCCTGCCTTTGCCTCCCAAGTGCTGGATTAAAGGTATGAGACACCACACCTGATCCATCTATATTGTTATATGACAGGATCTCACATTGGCTTGGAGCTTGTCAAGTAGGCTAGCCTGGCTGCCCAGTGAATCTCAGGGATCCTCCTGTCTCCACCTCCACAGCTCAGGTAATTAGAGTGTATGCCTCCATGCCTGACATGTGGGTGATGAGGCTCAAACTCAGAACCTTTACCAGCACAGCTGTCTCCCCAGACTCGGGAGTGTTTGTGTTGTAACCTCTTGACAGGAAACTAACTCCATCTCAGCAGGTCTGGGTCTGGGTGTCATTGCTGTGCCCCAATCTGTAGATGAGCAACTGTTGTTCACAAGACACTCCCCCAGGTCAGTGTGGGACTGGAAGACGAAGGAGACACCCAAGGAGGGAGATCCAAACCATTCTACCTCCACCCTCTCAGCATTACCCCCACCCACAATCCAGAGCCCTCAGGGTCCTCATCGAGGCTGTAGGCTGGGACCAGGAGTTGTGTCCTCTGTGGTCACGCTGGGCTGAGTGTGCACTGGTGAGGATGTGGGCGACCCCAGGGTATGTGCTCTGTTCTCGGGGCTGGAGCCTGTGACAGGAGCAAAGGATGGAAACACAGACTGTCCCAGTGACCTCCACTCCATGTCCTCCCCACTGAAACCTCTGCAGCTCTGCTGCACACGGGTCCCTAGGGACACGGTGGACCGCTGTGTGACAGCCTACAAGCCCCATGGCCCCACCAAGTCCTGGTCGGGGCTTCCCTCCCCAGGCCTTCCCATGGTGCATTGGGGCTGATTGGTACTTTCAAACTAGAGGCCAGTCTTCCTGCAGAGGAGAGTTTAAGTGTCAGTGACAAGACGCTTGGTGCCAGGTCCCTTCCTGCCTCAGTGACACCTTTTGCCTCCTTGTCTTCCATCCTTCTGGGGACAGACACAGAGTGGTGGGACTCTGTTTGCCTGGTCCCCTCATTCCTACCCTGTCACCCAGACAGGCCACTGGACAGTCTTCTCTGAGGAACAGACAGATGGAAATTTCTAGAAAGCCAGATGCTTGAAGGATCTTGTGGAGAGTGGCCTCTGCTGAGGGGAACTAGAGACACCAGTGGGATTTGGTTCCACACTCCTCACTATGAATCCACAGGGGCTATTGGAAGGAAGCTTTTATGAGGGGAAAACAAAACTGAGAATC